TAGCGAGAGGTGTGTCGTCTAGTACTGTGGCAGGAACTTCATAAAGTCATTTTAGAAATGCAGTGGAAAATTCGACCTACATTCTGAAGTTTCAGAAATATTTTAAAGTATTTTTTGTAGTAAAAGGCCTATTTTGTATTTAATCTTGATTCGTAATACTGACTACATTCAACATGGAAAGCAGAAAATACTGAAGAGAGAGGTTCTATGCAGAATCAAGATCTCACTGAACACTTGCTTAAAGTGTGTATGTGCTGTATAAACCAGGTGACTGCATGTGCATTGCTGCATGCCAGACATTTTGAGTAGGGCTGGTACCAGCATCTGACAGAAACACTAGGTTCTCTAACCTGTAGTGCATTGTTAGTGCACAAGAGCAGCTTTCTGTCCTGTGTCTTTACTGCAGACTGCTGTGGATCATCACTTAATAACCTGCTCTGCCTGCTATAACTACTTCTGTTTTCCTTCCCTGATTAGCAGCAGACATTTGGAGACTGCAACAATGAAAATGTGAGGGATCAGGAACATTCATGCTAGAAGATGAAGTACTTGGTCTCCTACATAGGTGCTGAGATGTCTCCTAGTGGCCATGTGTACTGGGAATAGCCAGAAAAGCTCACTGTGACATTGCAATAGTCAGTCTCAAGTTACAGAGGCCTGTCAGTTAAAACCTCAGACCACCAGACAGTCATCTCAATTTTTATTACCACTTCCAGCACATGTTCTCCAATGTCCATATTGCAAGGTTTGTTTAACAATGTTAACTTCACCATCTTTCTTGATGATTTCATAAGCAAAGAATAGCTCTGCTCCAGTTTGCATCTCTACCAGTCAAAGAGCTGCAGCTTCTTTTATCCAGGCACAGTAATACTTGTACCAGACCCTATATTCCAGTTGGAGTAGGAACACCAGCTTTCAGAGCCCCATTCCATGTTCAAGTAGGAGATACACATTAAGAATGAGTGCCCAGAGTTTAGGTATCTGTCACCTTGGTTGTGTTTGAGAGAGAACACCATTGCTAGTATACAGTCACAGTCTGAAAACCTCAGTACTTCTAGCCTGAAATTGTGCTATGGTCATTTATTTTAATATTACTTGCAGTGAGTCATGTGGATCTGGAATTCATTCCTTTGATCAATAAAGTGGGCTGGTAAAAGCAACGATTGGTTGTTTCTATAGAGCTATATTTTGGGGTTTTGCCTTATTGTACTGTGGCACTCAAAAAATCAAGGTGAATTAGGAAATTGCTGATTTTAAGTCAAATCCAAATTATAGTGAAAGTCAGTAACAACTTGATATAATGAGGCTGCTATTTCAGCAAACCACTGAAACACCTGAATCACTAGCTGATTACTGGGGGAGTTAACCAGTGTCACTAAACAAATGCTAGAACTCTGCACTGTGCTTCACTGGACAGATCATTC